AATGACTTAATATTATTGTCTTAAATTTATGCCAAATTACATATTAATTAAAACAACTAATTATGAGAAATATTTTATCCTTAAAGTATTGTTTTGGTGTTAAATATTTAATGCAAATGTCAGACCAGTACTTTTAGGTTAAAAATTATTTTTCATTTACCATGGTTTTGGTTAAAGATATTAAAAATTATTTTTTTCCTGTAATTATTAATTAATTTCTCTAAGAAATCATTATTTTTAAAAGTAATTGTGTCCTAAAAATACTATTTAATTGCAATCATTTTTTACATATACTTTTCAATTAATTTCATATGATTGAACATCAACTCAAGCATAAAGTTAATAATTGATTAATTGTTTTATTGTTTAAGTTATTATATAGAAAATAATGTATTTTACATATGGAAATGTAATTTATTAACTTCTAGTAAACATTTGAATAATGCCGTAAATGTAAGTATTAATTATAGATATTTAAATTAAATATTGTATCGTTATCATTTTTATTAGCAGTAAAATGTAATGAAATTTCAAATATTGTTAATATAAAAATAAATTTCTGTATTATATATATATGATAAAACTTTAAATTCTTTTTATTTTAAAACCCAAGATGTGAATTAAAAATATAATTTAGTTTTAATACGAAAATTTAGTCACAATATAATAAATTATTATAAATAATCAAACGTTAAACACGAGCTAATTGTATAACAATGGAGTATTGCTTTAAATAAATTCGTTACGAATATCATACTATAAATTCACGATTTTATGTAATTATTGCAATCAACTGCACTGTATATCAAATATTTGTTTGTGTTTTAGTAAAGGCCTATTTGAAAATGAGTTTTAATATTTGCACATTAATTGCATATTTGATGAGCATTTCTTTAATTAGAAATCAAGAATTTTGTTCAAATTCTGAGCAAATAGAGGCCATATTCCTTATGTCTGATTATAATTACATCAAAAAGGGATCACTATTTTACAGACAAAAAACTAATGAAACATTTGCAAATACAAACGGCAAACACTCCAAAGATTTCTTGCAAAAAAGTTTGTTTTAAAAATATTAATTCAAAAAATGTGGCAAAAAAATTTAAATTTTGTGTTGTAGTCTTTACAGATATCAAAGACATTAGAACTGGATTTTTGGTGACAGAAATGTCCACAAAATTTAAGACCACACAATGTAATAGACAGTGCAGTGATATAACCAAACTATCAAACATGGGTTTCATCATTGGATACACCGATACTGATAAGAGTCAACATTACGTCTCATTTCGTTACGACTCAAACGGACAAACTCTGCTACCGGTGCTCAACGATACCGATATGCCATTCCATATGAAAACAACGGGCGTAATATCGGATGATGGCATATGGGTGCCAGGTATAATTCATCCTTACGTCTACATTCACTCGACTTATATGGAGAAAGAGATGAAAATAATTCATATAATAGAGACAATAGGAGAGCAAACACTTTATATGAATTCACTCTTTGATTGGTCGCGACGATGGACTAGATATCGACCGAAAAGAGTTGAGTACTTTTTGGGCACAAAAATTGTTGGTTTATTTGAGGTCCACAAAGAGGTGTATGCGATGACTGCCAACAATGAAGTCGAGAAATACGACCGAAGTGTCTTAACATTGGTCTCACAGGTCTTGAAATGTTATATTTTTTAGATTAACTTATGTCTTGATTATAATCAATTGTTTGGTTATCAATGCTGTAGATTAATATGTCAATGAATGGTCTGTTATTTGGTTGCCGACCCAATATAGAGCCCACTGAATGGGATTCAGACAAACTAAATGACACTAATATATCGACACAACTTTCTAATCATTTGTTTATTGGACTCATTTCTGTGTTTGCATTGGCCATCCTATTGACTATTATTGTCATTATCACAGTTATTTATAGTAAGAAATTATATTATTTAAGAAAATAGTACCATATAGTATTAAATAACGATTTATATGTTTAGTGTTCGGTACCAAAAACAAAAGGGCCAGTGAACCAGTAAAGTGAAAAACATCTGTTAAAAGTCAATTGAGTAAACATTGATTGAGACAAACCTTTCAGATGAACAATAAATTTAAAGGTTCTTTCAATTAATTAAAATCTGATAATTAGTTATTTTTAAAATAGAACCTTTTATTTATCTAATTATTTAAAGATATAATCTATAAATTATTTTGTGCTTTATGTAAATATATTACTAATTATTATTATTATTATTTTATAAATTAAATTATTTAATATGTTAATTAAATGAAAAAACAATATTCTGTATGTTTGTCATTCTAAAATGAGACCAAAATTAAACTTTGTTTTGACAAAAATGAAAAATGTAATTTAGTTTTAAAACAAAAATTTATTACGGAATTACAATCAAACACTAAACACTAACTAATTTAATTGTATTACAATAAAGTATCTATTTAAATAAATTCCTTGCAAATACAATATCATACTATATCATACCATAATAACAATTTTATGCAGTCTTTAGAATCAACTGTATATTAAATATTTATTTGTGGTTTAGTAAAGCATAACTTTATATGAAAATGGGATTTAATATTTGTATAGTAATTGCATATTTAATGACCAATTTTTTAATTAGAAGTCAAGAATTTGGTTCAAATTCTAAACAAATAAAAACGATATTCTTTATGTCTGATTATAATTACATGAAAATGTATTCACTTTTTTTACAGCCAAAACACTACTGAAACTTTTAAAAATACTATTAGACCTAAATGATTTCTTTCAAAAAGTCTGTATTACTGAATAAACTGTTTAACTATTAATTAATTATATTTTATAGCTATTTTAAATATTAAAGAGATTAGCACTGGTTCTTGGAGACAGAAATGTCCACAGAATTTACGATAATAAGGTGTAAATATACTGTAATTGTCATGATATTACAAAACTCTTAAACATGGGTATTTTATTTATCATATTCTTTATAAATATTAACTATAAATTATTCTATTATTCAGCTAAATATATTACAAATAACTATTATTTTAACTTATTATAATTTATTATTATCTTATTTAATATTAAAAACGCTTTATTAAACAATATTAGCAAGAAATAGTTTTTTCATAACTTTAAAAAGTCTTATAAGTTTGATTAAATTATTGAGCACTAGTTATAATTTACTTCACATTTGACTAACTCATTGATTTTTTATTATTGTTTCATCAAATGATGACTTATTCTGATTACAATTTATCATAAGGATTATATCATAAAACATGACATAAAATATAGGTATCTGTTGATTAACGATGACTTTCCATATAATAAGTTAAATGTTTTTATAATTTTTTGGTCATATGAATGAAAATTGTTTTTGAAAATTTGGTGTCAATTGTGTGAAACACAGATGAAAGCAATGAAAGTAAAACTTTTAAAAAACGCCTTAAACTTAACAGAATAACTTTTTAAAATGTGTCCATTTATTTCGTTTAACACAAAACTATGCAATTCTTTGATAATCTGATGAAACTATTATTGGTTAACATTTATCTAATTATAAAATCTTTTCAACAAAATATATTTGTATTAGTAATCCATGATTTACAGGCACACAGTAAGTGCTTATCCAGTGCCACTCCATACAGTGCTCTCAAAGGCATTGGTAGTGTTGATTGGGTTGGATTAGGTGGTGGTCGATGCGGTCGTTCCCATTATTACGGCTCCGCTCACAGGATATTAGGTGGTAGAGTAGCACAGACTGGAGAGTTCCCTTGGATTGTGTCACTACACCGGTCCGGACAGTTCAAGTGCGCCGGGTCCATCATCAATGCCAATACCGTACTCACGGCTGCACATTGTGTATCAGGGTTAGTCATCCCACTAACTTTCTATATTTACTTACAATGTTAAATTATTATTTTTTAATTATTTCATTCAATTCGAGTTTAAAGTTATTTCTATTTAATAAGAAATTCTAAATTATTTTATATTTGTTAAAATATTTTATCACGATAGTTTGATTTTAACAAATATTTATTTTATTACTTTGTAGAAATAATTTATATAATATTTGATTATATTTAGTGTTATGGCATCTGATGTGACGATACGATACAACACTTTATTTAATTCATACAAAGGTTTTAAGAGAAATGTGACAAAACTTATAATTCATCCAAAATATAATAATCAGACCATTGATAATGACATCGCTATCGTGCGGTTAAGTAAAAATCTAGTCTTAGGTTTATGTAATTCAGGATCAATTTGTTTGCCCTCAAAATCTGACAACATATCACCCGGTGATGTATTGACAGTCATGGGATGGGGTCTAATTGACACTTCCAAGAGTTCGCCAATACTAATGGTTGTGGACATTCCGATGATATCATTGAAAATGTGTCGCAAACAATATAAATATTTACCAAAAGTGTTTAAAATTACTGAAAATATGATTTGTGCGGGATTTACATCTGGAGGACAGGATGCTTGCAGTGTATATTCAATAACCCGTAGATAATTCCTATCTTTTTATTAGTATTAAAATATTTTACTTTAATTTATAGGGCGATTCTGGTGGACCTCTGGTTAAAAGTTTTGACGGAAATGTATTTGTTTTAATGGGAATCGTGTCCAAGGGATTCGGTTGTGGTCTACCAGACAAGGCTGGGGTTTACACTAAAGTATCTAATTATGTCGATTGGATCAATGCAAACTTATAATGTATAGTCAAGTGTTTCATATTTTAATAAGTTTATTGTTTTTAATAATAAACTTAATTTAAAATATTTTTGTTAATTTTTCAATTATACAATATGTCATAACGTGTAGCAATTTGTTTTACACTAATATTTATAATATTATAATATTGCAGAAAATTTCTGTATGCAATTACAGAATGAGATTTATGTGTTTTATTTGTTTAGGTAATTAAAATGCTAAAAATTTATTTCTTGATCTCGTATATGAGAAGTGACACTAATTTTACAGTGTAATTACTGTATTACTTTGCAATTATTCCCAATATTTCTCAATCCATAATAAATTGTATCACACTTTAAAATGATATTTATTGGATTAATTGAATATTTAAGGTATTTGTCACTAAAAGGGGAGGCGGTTAAAAAATTAATTCATAAATTAGTTCAATGACAAATAAAACACAAAATGTTAGTAAAACGTAAAATTTGGAGAAAATCATGATTTTGATTAAGAAACCTGATATAGCCATATTTTGCCATAGTAGTATTATACAGTATAAATATAGTGTTCCCCTTTTTTATTTTGCTTTCATTTGACCCTTTATTTTTAAAAACCAATTCTGTATGAAATATTGTATAAATATATGGTTTATATAGTAATTTAACAAAATATATATTAATTCAATTCCCAATTATTACACCAAGAATTTATACACGCAATGCAATCACTGTTTATGCCATAGATTTATCACTACACGTTCAGTATATTGCTTAGGGCCCTTTTTATACACTTTCTGTACCTGTATATAAAAATCTCAAATGTAGTGAAAAGCAACACATTTCATGTGACGCAAACATTCATAATACAATATATTATTCAATATTGAGTATTAAAAATATCACATACTGGATTTCTCCATAGCGATATGGGGATTTCGTGGGTTTCGATACTATTATATTGTCTATAATCAAATGAAACGCTTAAGGAATTAAATGGGAATTCATTGGAAAGTAAGTGTCAATTGATATGATATTCAAAAAATATGGGTCTTCTCTACAATGGGTCACACTCTCTGCAAATCATTATCAGTACTAAAGATAATCATCGTATCAATCATTGCATTCACCGTTACATTGATCACAATCTGTGGAAAGGATCAGGACATATTGTGATTTATAATGCATTTACATAAACATTATAATCTAATCAAATATAAATAAGATTACACCAAATATCGATTAATTAAAACACAATTTACGATATATTTAAAAAGCGATTTATATTAAATTAACATTAAATGAATAATTTTTGCGAATAAGTTAAAATTACATAATTGTAAACTACATATTCTTTGTATGAAATATTTTTTTGATATTTTTGTTAAAAACTAAATTTAATAACTTAACTCATAAGTTAAACTGTAAAGTATTTTTCACTATTAAAAATAAAATCTATTCAAACCTCCAAAAAATAAAGTGACAGATAAAGTAAAATTTAAAATATGTTTACTTTATTTAAAAATATTGAATGAGCATTGTGTTTTTGAATAAATTTTAAACTATTGACAGATATTATAGACATGATGACAGTATTGTCTACCAAGAATTTACAATTTGCTTGATAAGTTACTTGAATAGACACCTTTATAGGATTAATGGGTAACAAAAAGTAGTACCGTAGTTAGGTTAAGTTGTTGTTATTATTTTATTTTTCAATTGTATTAAAATTATTTTTATTTGATTTTATTCTTGAAATTAATTAAAATATTTTTATAACTATTTATGATTTGCATAATTGAAAAAAATAGATCACTTATAATCGATTCAATTATTTTTTACATTTTATTAATCATATGTTTTGGTTGTGTATGCGTTAAATTAAAACCAATTTATTTTTAAATAATAATAGTCTGGGTAATAAGTGAATAAAAAGTAAAATCTAATTCTCAAGCAATAATTTTTATTTTTGGATACTTTCACAACATAAGTACTCATAATAATTCACTACACTCTGATGATATCATGATTTACGTGAGTTACACACGTAACTTTAGTTCTATAAACTGTCTAAACTAATTTAGAGTTATGTAAAAGGAGTTATTAGATGATATGATATCTCTAAATTGATTTGCTTTCATAGTATTCATACGATGTTTGATTTTATTAATGTTTATTTCAAAAGTGATGCTTACAAATAATAATCAATATTATCAAACAAAAAAGTTTGTTTTACACGGTATTCACGCCATCAGATGCTCAATCAATTCATTATAAAACATTTGATTTCTTAATCCATTGGTATTATTGTTGAAATCAATTTCACAATCTATTATAGCGTTTCTATCGAAATTTATATTTCAAAATTATTGTTAAACAAATGCCTTTTTGCCAAATTTTGTTGTTTTATTTGTCATTGAACTGAATAACTGATTGACTGTATTACGCCTCCCATTCACTCAAATATTATATAATTTTGTATTTTTTGGAAATACTTTTTTGTGGATTTTCTCCGAAATTATAATAATATGTTCAGAGAATAAGCAAATTAGATGTAAGGGAGGGGTTGGGATGAAAATGACAGGATTCTTGATACCAGTTGTGAAATGTTGGCAATAATCGCAATTTATAATAAAATTAGTATCTTTCAAGTAAAATGAATAGATTATTTTAAGTAAACTTACTGTCTAAAGATTAAATGTTTATACGTGAATTTAACTAAAAGACTCTTTGTTTATTATACATTAAATTCTCATTTTTTATTTTAATTATATAGAAATATTACATTTTATAATCTATATATAATTTTAAAAGTAATTTATTTAATGTGTTTAATAAATGTTATATTAATGTTGGTTATTTAATATAATAATTTTATTTTGCAATTCTGTAGAAAAAACCAGATATATATTTTACAAATAATACTTTGATTTAAATTCTAGATAAAAAATTCAAAGCCAAGGCTGGAATAATCCATGAAGTTTTATGTAATACTCTATGTATTATAAGATTTAACAAGATTTAAGGTAATAAACAAAATAATGTTTTCTGAGTTTAAATAAATAATACTACCAATATACAGAAATAGTATTATTTTATTATGCAACTAATTTAACTGTAAGCAAATTTAACTTTGTAATAGATTTAATACTAGAACATTGATTTCTGTACATTATTGTAAAATACTAAATAATGCTTGATAATACCACTATTTTAAAATTATATCTTTGCATCATTTTTATTTTGAAATCACTTGACTATTACCACATGTCTATCACATGAATGTATTATAGCGAATTATTTTTGAAACAAACAATGTTTCCACTATTTAAAAATTTCCTCAAAAAAGGATTTAGAAATTCCTAAAAAGATGAAAAAACGTGAGAACTCATGAAAATAAGTTTCCAAATAATGATTTAACCAATTCTTATGTCTATACAATTATATGATTGATTGATCGCACGGTTGACATAAAACTTCAATTTTGTTAACCAAAACGTATACTAATATTATTCAAATCGTAGCCCAATATCATGGAAACATTTGCGAAATATAAAAATTAAATTACAATAAAATTATTTCTTTGGGCAATAATTGACAAAAGGATTGAGGCATATAAAAAATATCCGGTATTTTTATATTCAATATTTACAATACAGTATAATATAGCTTGCAATAGGCGTTACTCGTAATACGATATATGAACTACTTTCTCTAAAATCAATTCATAAATATTTTCATTTAGTTTATTAAATAATTTCCATATAATTTGTGGCAAAGTTTTAGTAAAAATTTTCATTTTGCCCGAGAATTTGTTTTAAGGCATTCATTTGTCATTTAATATCCATTGAAACAACACTGTATTCATTACACATCTATTAGTTTAATAGGGTATAGAAATAACACTTCACTTATTTGACACCACTTGTTATAAAACAGTCAAACCAAGTGACAAATATTTTTGTTTTTTAATCAGTACCTTATTTTCAATCAAAAGTTACTTTGTCTCTAAGGTGTTACTATGATATCTGACTTAAAATTCATTAATAAATGAGTTTAATGAATAAATTAAATTTATATGCAAAAATTTAAATTTTTGATGGAAATTTAATATTAAGATCAATAATCATAACAATTATAATTTTTAAACATAAACAAAATGATATCTGAATTTTTGAACTTAAACTTTGTTACTTTCTGAGAGTAAGGGGGTGGAGGTAACAATAAATTGATAACTTAAATACTGACCATAATTAATGGACATTAAGCTAGAAAGTAGTCAAAAGCTAAGCGCCAAATATAAATTCACTCTGAAGTTACAGCGAACGAGGTTTAACTTATCAAGCAAATTGTAAATTCTTGGTAGACAATACTGTCATCATGTCTATAATATCTGTCAATAGTTTAAAATTTATTCAAAAACACAATGCTCATTCAATATTTTTTAAATAAAGTAAACATATTTTTATAATTTTAAATTTTACTTTATCTGTCACTTTATTTTTTGGAAGTTTTGATAGATTTTATTTTAAATAGTAAAAAATATTTTACAGTTTAACTTATGAGTTAAGTTATTAGTTTTTAACAAAAATATCAAAAAAATATTTCATACAAAGAATATGTAGTTTACAATTATGTAATTTTAACTTATTCACAAAAATTATTCATTTAATGTTAATTTAATATAAATTGCTTTTTAAATATATCGTAAATTGTGTTTTAATTAATCGATATTTGGTGTAATCTTATTTACATTTATTAGATTATAATGTTTATGTAAATGCATTATAAATCACAATATGTCCTGATCCTTTCCACAGATTGTGATCAATGTAACGGTGAATGCAATGATTGATACGATTATTATCTTTAGTACTGATAATGATTTGCAGAGAGTGTGACCCATTGTAGAGAAGACCCATATTTTTTGAATATCATATGAATTGACACTTAGTTTCCAATGAATTCCCATTTAATTCCTTAAGCAAAAGTAAACTAATATCTGTTATATTATCATAGCT